TTCCAAAATTGATGTTGTCTGAACAATAGTTATTATTACGATTTTAATTCCTTCATATATATCAAAGGTATCAGTATATTTTAGACTTTAATATAAGTTTGCATTTTATTTTCAAACGGAATTCAGTTTTTTTTTCTCAATGTAATCTTGCCTTTTCCGCCAACCATCTGCGGGTATGGCTAACTCCGCTAACTTCACTCGACTTGGCCTGGCTGATTGGGCGCGCGTTGTTTTGCATTTCCAGGCCAGAAACGGCGGTTGGGGCTGCGTAATAAAATGCATTTTAATTTGGCTAAATGTTCAATTAAATTTAAACATGCGCAGTCCGCTGTTTGCAATTTTGTGTTGCCTGTCGCCGCAGCATTGAAGTTGAGTTGCAGGAGAAGTGAATGTGTGCGACAGGACCCTCTTCCGATTTTCACCAAATTTTTCCTCAGCAGCAGGCCTGCAGTCAACTTTCGACTGGGGAAGTAAATTTTTGTATTTACTGCATACGTAAATGTTCAGATCAGCCTTAAAAAAAAAAACAAAATACATATTCTAAATTCCGTTTTTAAAACAAGAAGTTTTGGCAAATGTTTTGGTCCACCCTGATAAGGGGCGTCAGCTTGCGCCAGAGCAGCTCCTCCAGTGCTAGTAAGCCTCCAAAGCCTCCAAAGCCGCCAAGTCCACCAAACTCACCAAAGCCGCCTTCCGACAAAAAGGAATCCGAGCTACGGACGTTTTGCCAGCCGGCTGCCTTTTGCGCCGAGGCAGATCGCTTTAAATCCATGTGGGATCCGCCGAAGAACCTGCCCCCGCCGTATCCCTTTGTGGTAACGCGCCCCAATGAGCTGTGCTGCGGTCCCAACTGCACCAAGCCGCTGCCCTCGTTCGACGAGCTGTACTACCGACCCTCCAGCAAGGCCGGTCCCTTTCAGCGCCACTGGGTGGAGTGTCCCAAGTTCATGATCCGGCAGAAGAAGATCTGCGCCTACGACAAGCTGGAGGCCCTCGATCCTGCCCGCCGAGTGGCCAAGCGGCGTGAAAGGACCACGTTGAGTTCGGCCGCCACAGGACCCTGTCCCCACTTTGCTCCCTTGGCGCGATGCGTACCCGGTCGTCGTCCGCCCAGGTGCCATGCGGCCAAAACGCCCTCCTGCTGCCGCAGGCTGTGTTGCCCCATGCCCTGCTGGTCGGACTGCAAGCAGCCCGTGTTGGCCAAAAGACCGCATCGACCCAGGGAATGCGAATGCCGATTTGCCCTTAGCCCTTGCGAAGCGGAGCGTGGTCGTCAGTGGGTCAAAATTCACGGCGAGAACCACATCTGCCCCAGTGCCGTCAGAAAGGCCAAGAAGGCGAGGAAAGCCCTGCTCAAGAAAAAGAAAGATGATCTCAAGAAAGCGAAGAGGGATAGTCGCAAGAAAAATAATATTCCCAAGAAAGATGAGGACAACAAAAATAAGGACAGCCCCAAAAAAGGAAAAGACAGTTCCACGAAAGATGAGGACAAAAAATAAACAAATATATTTTTAATTTCATTTGTATTTTGAGTTTTATTTTTGTATTTCAGTCCTTCTATTTCACTTAGTTTCGATAAAGAAAACCGCAAGAAAAGCAAAGACAGTCCCAGGAATGATGGGAATAATAAATAAATTTTAAATTTAATTTATATTTGGACTTTAATTTTTGTATTTTAATCCTTTTTCACTTAGTTTGGAACTCTGGAAAATGGGAAAACTAAAGAAAAAGTACAGATGGTGACCGTCCAATAAAGATTATGACAAGAAATGCGTTCTAAGTTTTATAAAGAAAGAAAGTCTCAAGAAAGCAAAAAAATATAGACGAAGGAAAAAAAAACCCAAGAAAGACTAGGATAAGAAATTGATAATCCGAAGATGAGAAAAAACAATTTTTAAGTTTCTATCCATATTTTTACAATGGTCTCTGTATATAAGTCATTCCACTTGACTCAGTGAAAAAGGACAACTCAGAAAGAAAAAAAAAACAGAACAGTCCCAAGGAGAATAAAGAAATTTAAAATTTTATTTATGTTTTGACTTCTTTCATGTCTGTATTTTAGTCATTCTATTTCACTCAGTTTCTGACTCCAGGATGGTGGCTTTGTATATGTTTTTACCCGACTCCAGATCGTTCAAAGCCTGCGTCAGAGCCATGCGCATCAGTAGGCGGGATTCGGGTTCCGTAAGTTGGACAGCAACAGAGTAGCCTGGGTTGTCCTCAAAGCCCGTGGCAGCTAGGGTTTCCCGGTTAAATGGCTGCTCTTCATTTAACTCGGAGCACAGGCTACTATTGGGCTTAGAGGACGGCACTTCGATGGTCTTGAAGGGTCTGTAGGCGTGGATGGTTTCACTGGGCTGAGTTTTCTGATCGTCATTTGTTTTGGGAGAGCTTTCAGTAGTTTTAGAGGGACTGGACTCTTGAGCTTCACTTTCTGCGGTCTCTTGTCCCATTTGAGCACTAATGGGATCTGATGTGCCGACATCATCCGACTCATTGGTTGTGATTGAACCTTGGCTATCCTCCAATTCGTTGGCTTGCACGGAACTTTCAACACTCTCCAACTCATTGGTCTTCAAAGAACTTGCGATATCCTCACCCTCCTCAATCGTTAGAACAGAACTTTCGATTTCCTCAGGATTTTTGGTTATCGCAGAAGTCTCTAGAACATCCAACCCAAACTGATCAGCCGCCGCATTGGTTATCTCAAAATCCATCAACTGATCCATTACCTCCTCCTTATCCAGATTATCGTTATTATTGGGTTGGTTGACTTGGTTCTCATCAACTTGGGGTTGGTTGAAGGTCCATGAAGCCATTTCCGGTCCTGGGTAAATGGTGTCCAAGGCGTTCTCATCTTGACCCATTGTGTTGTTAAACGAACCTGATTTCTTTGAGTAGAGCGCGTCTAAAAGAAGGGAAATTTGACCCAGCTCTTGCATCATAAAGTCCACATTCTGTCGCACGGTTTTAAGAGAACTGCGTTCGAAGCTGGTAAAGGGCTCTTGGGAGTTGAGTTCCTGGGTTAAGTTTTCTCGCAGGCTGCGGGTTCTTTCAAATTGCAAATCCTCCTCACTGAATAGCAGCTGATCGTCCTCTTGTTCCTCCTCAAACTGCATGTACGGATCCTCGGAATGACTGGGACTGGGCATTCCCGCCAATTGCTCCACATCTAGTTCGTTATTTTTCCAGCCCCACGAGGCGGTAATGTCGTCATCGCTGTCATCCTTGAATTCTTCAACGCTATGCAAGTTCTTGTCCTTCAAATCCGGCCACACAAACAGGTGACTTGAGTGTTCCACACTCCTTGTCTTTTCCATTTCCTTCTGCTCACTTTGGGTTTGGTTCGTCGGATGTGAGATAAAGGGTGTATCCGAATTGTCGGACAGGCTGCGCAGTAAATATCGCTGGTTCCTGGAGGAACGGAAGACACTGCGAGTAAAACCGCTGAGCACCGACAGGCGAGACATGTTTGAATTTTGAACGAGTCCTAGAAGTGGGTGTTCCGAAAGTTCAGAAGACTGCAAATGAAGTGAGGTAATCTAGTCATACTGACAGCTAAGCTGACTGAATCGCAGGTTGCTGAGATCGGGCAGGAATACCTATAATGCTTCGGCTATGGTTTTTGGTTCTCTCTTGCTGAGGGCTCTGTTGGGACATCCGTAACAGAAACTGTTTCGGAGATTCTAGCAGAGACCACAGATGAGAAAACCGCAGCTTAAGATCATAATTTTCAGGGACTGTTGTGTGTTTGGACAAGTGGCGCATCGGTGTTCAGAGATCCTAGCAGAGATTACAGATCGCAATCTTCATGGACTCTGGGAAAAACAGGGCCAGATGCTGATGTTGTGTTTGGCCAAGTGGTTGGCCATTCGGACCTGCTCGCAAACGGATTTTTTTGCCAGGCACTCACACTCGGGCGGACGTCTTGGGATCACGGCGGGATCCTCCTGGACACATTCTGAGTAACTGGGGAATGGGCACTTGATCTTCTTGCAATCGGAGGGCGAATGTCCCACCCGGCACTTAGGCGGAATTCGGGCGGTTCGACAGCATGGCATGCGTATGCGCACGCATTTGGACTTTTCGTTGAGGCACTTGTAGCGCTTTTTCTCGTGGTCCGGGAGGCAAGCGGTTTGGTGACAGAGGGGCAGGTCCCGGCGTAGGACCTCCGGCGGAATGGCGTCACACCAGCAGCACACACGCTTCGGGACCATCCGTGGACAGCACTCCCACCAGGTGCGCTGGAACTCCCGGCACTTGTCCGACGGCCGGTAGTAGAGCACGTCGAAGCGGATGTCGCCGCACGGCGGACAGCACTCCTGCGGATAGTGCCACAAGGTTTCCGGCCGCTCTTTCCTCCTGTCCTTGTAGTCGCCCCACATGGACACGAATTGGCTTTTTTTTGTGGGATCATTGCAGGGATTCTCTGCGATGCGGGTGTTCACGCAACATGGGTACCGAGGATGCGAGCAGTCCTCCTCGTTGCAAGGACAAACTGGCGGTTCTGTGGGATCGCACGGTCGCTTCTTCACCACCTTGCACTCGGGAACCAGACTCTCGGGACAAAATTTTCTGCACCTTTTCGCCAAGATAGCGCTAAGGTGAAAAGGAGTCCGAGGAGTCAACGAAATAATGGGCGTCCCCAAAATCCTCTTGGCCAAAAAGCTGAGCATGGCTGCTGAATTAAAATTTGAGTTTCTGCTCTAGGAGCAAATGTTTGTCCGAAAAGTAAGCCAAAGTATAGGGTTGAGAGTTAAATGGGGGGTTTCTTATCAGGGAGTTTTATAGAACTTTTTCGGTGGCGCGTTACAAGCTTTGTTTTTGGGCTATTAAATCATTAGAGTTACTAAAATCCCTCACTGCATTGTACATTTGACAATGTTTGTAAAGCAAAGCGTATTAATTTTCTTACATATTTCAATCAGGATCCAACTAGTTTTGTCCCTCAACTTAAAAAGTCGTTGAGGAATACTCTATAACTCAAAAAAAACATTACATCAACACTATACAGTTTTACTACATCTTTGATACATCAGTTTGTGGATAATCCTGGACACTTGTTGCCAATCTAAGTCGCAACTCAATAGCAACACTATAGGCAAAGTGTTTTGTTGAGCTGCGGATGAGTTTGGCAACAAGATCGAAGAGCATCCGTTTGTGTACGGCTTAATAGCAGTTCCGATACAGTTTTTGATATTCGAAGGCGAGAGAATGTTGGGTAAAGGACTTTCTGGGCATACTCGGGCAACTCTGACCCTGGAAAATGCTGGCAAATGTGGTTGAGTACCGTCCAGTCCCCAGTTGTTTCCAGTCCTCTGGTCCCATCGACTTGTTGGGGAACATGGCTTGATTTCTCGTGAAGCTCGGTCGTCGCGGTTCGGTCTTTGGCAGTAGGCGATCCTTTGCCTTGGAGCACAGCTCGTCCATGGCCTCCTGCTGGAATCTCTGGCCGATGCTCGTGATGCTGCCCATCGGCTGCCACTTATTGTTGGTTGGCGGTGTTTGATTAGCCACCTGCGAAACACCTGGTTTCAGGTATGCCCCAGTGGCTTTGGTCTGCGGCAAGGGACTCAGCATTTGGTCGACGCAATTCGACTGATTCCGCACCATCGACGGCTGCGTGCGGGAGTAGCGCACCAGGAGCTTGGTCAGGCGCTCGGCGCACATGGTGGCCAAAACGGAGGTAGTCATGTCAGATCCTCTCGAGCAATCACTGGCCCTTTTTACTCCTTCGGTCTGCGTGGGAGTTTTGTTCGAGATTGTCTAAATGGAAACGTTCGATTTGGAAGCCTGTTGCTTGATTAAAATGAGACGCACCGAAATGTACGATTCATTGTATGGGTGACCGCAAAGGCAAGGCTGTCTGATGATTTGATTTAATGAAGTTTTTTTTCTATTGACAAGAAACTATGATTAATATTTTACTATTTTTTATTATATATGCTTTATAATTTGTACAATTTAATTCACACCATATTATTACCATTTGTTTTTTTTTTTTTTTTGGATTATCTTTGAGATATGTAAAGGCTCTGAATATTGGAACAAAGCAATGGCTACAAGTTTTTGGGAGCTTGCATCCATTGCTTTGTTCAAAAAGGCAGAGTCTTAATGGGGATTTGTGCCAAAGTTTGGGCTTAGACTATCACTTGAGGTTGAATATTTCCCGCCGCGTTCTCTCCCGAAAAGCCAAACATTTTGAGATGGTATCCAAGCAGTGGCACTCGATTTTCCGACGTGGTCTAGACCATCTGGCCAGTTCCGAAAATGAGGGAAAAGGAGCACGCAGCTTGATGCATTTGGAGGGCTTCCTGTAATTGCGACATAAAGGATCACAGCGAGCTGGCTTGCAACATGGCCAAAATAATTTCGGGCACTGGCACTCCGGATCCCGCTTGAAGTCGCTTCTCTTACAAAGAAGCCTCAGGCTTTTATAGGGTTCTTTGCAAACCTCTGGGCAGGGATTCTTGCGATATAGCACCTCGGGCGGATTGATGGCATCCAGGCAGCACACCTTCCTCAGGCGTTGCTTCACGGGCGGACACTCCACCCAGGTGCGCTGGTAGCAGCGGCACTTGTTCGACGGCTGGTAGTAGATCGCATCGAAGCGCGGAAGCATGTCCTTGCAGAATGGCTGCTCGTCCGTCTGGCAGGGTGGCTCCCACATCGATCGGAAGGGTTCTTTCGGCGGCTTGGGTACTTTGGGTCGCTTCAGATCCGCGCAGGGGTTTTTGGCCGCCGATCGCAAGACACAACACATTGCCTCCAGCTGCTGGAACTCTTCCAAGAATTTCTCACGAGGCAGTTCGCGAGTCAGCACTTCCTTGGCCGCCTGGCATCTGTTGCCCGGAACGCGATGGCAATCGGGGTCCACGGGCAGGCAAGGCGGGTCCGGAAATTTGGGCCCTTTGCAGGCGTACCTCCTGCAAGCCTGCCTGCAGAAGGTGCGAAGTGCCGACTGCATCCTTATAATTTTGGGGAAATTTTGAAAGGGCCTCCTGATTTTCCGATATTTTCTACATTTCAAAAGCAAAACTTTTGACTAGGAAGGCCGGGAATTGGGGATCACACTAATAATATATTACGATGTAGAAAATCCATAGATGATGGTTAAAAGGGAGTTATAAGATGGTCCAACTTTTCGATCCAGTTCTTTGGAATGGAGTTTCTGAAAAGTAAATCCGTTTTGGAAGCAGGAAATACTTTGAAGGAAGAAGGAATCAAGTGAGGGCTAAAGTAGTCAATCAGGAATCAATCTGGAAAATCTAGTACACACTAAGCCCCTTAGAATGGGAAGCGCATTCGGGATCTGTTCGAAGAGTGTCTCATTAGGGACTTGGTGCAGATGCTGCGCGACTTGTTCCGCCGATGGTAGGTGTTCCACATGTCGCACATGCCCGGAAGCACCTGACAGGCGCACTCGCTGCGGCAAAAGCGCGGTATTAGATGGCGACATGCCTCCGAGAAACTGGGCATGGGTGCCTCCTTTTTGCAGCAATCGGTCGGCTGACGAACTTTGTGGCACGTGGGTGGTCGGCGACCCAGTTTGCAGCCAGGAGACCTGAGGACCGACTTGCAAAACACGTTCATCTGGAGGAGGTGCTTTTCTATGGCCGAAAGCGGCGGCTGTAGCGGCGGACGGATGCGTCGCTCCATGGGCGGATAGACCTCCGGATCGGGACAGCAGGAGTCCTTGGGACGCAACCAGAGGAGCGGACACTCGGCCCAAGTGCGCTGGTACTGGCGATACTTATCCGACGGCTTGTAGTGCTTCACGTCGTGGCGGATCAACTTCAGCCAGCAGTCTGGATCGGTCTTTCCCCGCTGATAGATCTCCTGCAAGTACTTGGAATACTGCTCATTGCCGATGGATGGTCTTTCGTAGCACTTGTTTTCCACTTCCTTATGTGGGCAAGGTAGTTTGTCCTGCATGCAGTCGACGGTCTCCTTGTCCCGCATCCTGCAGCATTCGCCGGAACTGGCATCGTAGTTGCCCCAGTTGTACCAGCGACTGTTGGCCAATAACCTTTGAATCGGGCCTCGGCGCAGGCCCAGCTTCGTGACCATCTTGAAAACCGAATTTAGAGAGGCGTTGGGCCGAAAAATTGTATCATTAATTTCGAATTCAAAGCTGCGGAAGTCTGACTTGTCAGCCAAAGGACTCTTTGTCCTTCGAGCACATTTGCACAACTTCAAGGCATGGACATTAATCATGCTAGCTTACAACCCGTTTCCAATACAATATCATAACTGTATGCTTTAACCTTAATGCTTTTAGGTGTTTCGGAAAAATTTGATCCACAAAGGATGGTCTACATTCGTATGTAATGTAACGAACTTTTTTTTCAAAAAAAATCAAGCATTTTTTGATCAACTTTAAATCTCGAAGATCGATTAATTTATTGGGAAATACTTATTATTTTTTGTATCAAGCATGCATTTAATTGGATTCAAAAGCACTCATGACATTTGTGGGGGATCTCTTTTTTTCTTTTTCATATTTCCAACTTGTCTTACTTCTATTCTATCAAAAGTATATGAGTATATGGTCTATTCGAAACTGGTGGGACAGCGACCCAGGCAACTAAGACTTCTTCATGCGGTAGTAGTTCCACACCTCGCACATGGGCGGCTGGTTGATGCAGGAGCACTGGCTGGGCGGCACATCGGGCAGCGGATCCAGCTTGCACTCCGAGTAGCTGGGGTATTTTGTGCGGCGACGAAGGCAGTTAGAAGGGGATCGTCCAGCGCGGCAGCCGACCGTGCGGCCATCCTTGCAAAAGGGCAGCTTGAACCTGGGGCAGGAGCCCTCGTCCTTCTTCGGGCGACACTGCCCCAGCCCCAGACTCTCGTTGCCGTCGGGGCACACTTTGGTCGCCTTGAGCGGCGGCGTTCGGCGGGCCCGTCGCAGGAAGTTCACCGGACGGCAGCGGCAGACGGCCTTCCTTTTCCGCTCCTCCAGCTCGCACTCGCACCAGGTGCGCTGGTACCGGCGGTTTAGCTTGTCGGTGGGCTTGTAGAGCGTGAGGTCCGTCGGCGGATAGGCACTCGCACATGGGGGCAGGCATCGGCTTTGGGCATCGATAAAGGCGGGCACATTGAACTCCGGGTCGGAGCGACACTTGTACTCAGAGCGCCGCATTGATATCCAGCAGTTGTCCTTGAATGGCACCTTCGTCCCGTTTTTTTTGTCATTTTTCTTTAAATCCAATCGCTGACCGGGCATCTTGGGCACACCATCTTCGTACGGGTCGTATAGGGTCTCCATGGCACGTACCTGCTTGATCCGTAAGGTCAAACCCCTCCTCATCGCGGTCGGAGCTCGGAAAAGCGTTTTCTTTACCAGCAGCATGCTGTTCTCACAAAATCTAATGTCAATCAAGTTGCTAAGGGTTAAAATACACTGAACAAATTTTGTTTTTGATTAAAAAAAATTAAATAACTGAATCAATGCGGAGTTTTCATAATGTCGTTTTAAGGTGTACGGATCATTTGAAGTATATGTCATGGATGGCAACAAATTATTTCACATAACATAATCATTTTATGTTATAAACACAAATTTTTAAATAAACTTTAACATACAAGATATCGGCATCATAAAAAAAAATACAAATGTTGTTTCGCCAAACAAATTAATTTTACCAATTTTTATACAGACATTTCCGACATTTCTATAAAATACAATATATATATTTTTGATCAGCATGACTATACCGTTATACTGACCATACAATTCTATCCCGAAGCTTGCTTCCGTCTTCGTTTCATCTAATATTTGTTAATAATGGAATAGTAAAAATAAATATCTAACTATTGAATTTAAAATTGTGTATTAAATTTTAAAATTACATATGAAATCATGATATTAAATACAATGCACATTAAATAATATTTAAGAAACAAATTTTAATTAATGTTGAAAAATATTTAAAATAGTCCTGTTTGATTTAAATGTATTTTATTTCAATTAAAACTGAATAAAATAGTCTAAATAAAAACCGCAATGGATGCAAATGCCATTTAAAAAGCCAGCCAATGAAAATTCTTTGATTTGATTTAGGTTGTCAATTAATTTTGTTTTTATATGTATTTGTTGACACATGGAATAATTTTTAAAGCGGTTTATCCAAATTAAACGTTACTGTATTGTAAATCCACGAAAATGTAAGAGTGGCCTCGTCATCAGCAAGAATTTGACCAGGTTTTTCAAACCAATTGGTATTCATCGCAAGCCGTGCGATCGGCAGCAACTTCGAGGTTGCGCATCCTGTTCTTCTCTTGGGCAGAGATGAACTGCGAGATGAACTTGCTGGTGGGAATGGCGATCCTCTGGAGTCGCCTCGAGGGCTCGAAGGATTGTCGGCGCACAGGGACTGGTGCTGGCTCCTCCCTGTGACGCGAGTCCCTCACTTCTTCCTGCGGTTTCTCAACATCCACGTCCATGGGTTCCCGCCAGGTTGCCTGATATTCACGCTCCGTCCAGCGTCCCGGGTTGTATTTAGTGTCATCCATGCGCTCTTCCCGCTCCTGCTGTTTCGCCCAAGTCCTTTTGTAGTCACGCACTTGCAAATTTCCTGGCCTGTAGTACTTATCATCTAGTCGGAACTGCTTCATTCCGCGGCACTTTGTCAGGCTGCTGAAACCAAAGACCGCCATCCTGCTGCTCACCAATGCTTTCGACGAATTCATTTTTGCACAATCTTAAATTTAGATTTGTTTTTAATACACACTACAATTTTCAGAAGAGAAATAAATAAATTATCTGGGATTAAAAACCGAATTTAAAACGTGTTGTTATACACAGATGCCAAATGTGAGAATGAACGAAGTAGGAAAATCATGTTAAGGGAAACCCTTGAAAGAAAATTCAACAGTCACTAGATTCTAATTTTTCAGTTTCTTCAAAGTATGGCACTTTTTTACAATGTAAGTTTTTTTTAGTTTTATTTAAAATTAAGTTATTGAATTGTAATTAATCATTCCTTATACTAAGCTTAAGTTATTGTTTTAAGAATTGTACTCATATTTAAAGAGTTTGGCACAGAAAATGTGGGCATAATACTTAATTTCACGATGAATAAATTTTAAAAATATTAAAAAAAATAAGATTGGCAATATCTATCTATATATCATATAATAAATACATCTCAATTTGAATTCCTGTTTTCTTCCGCAACCTTACGTAAGAAATAATTCTGAAATCGTCTCTTCCATTTGACCTCCGATTAAATTATAAACATTTTTTTTAAAATTGGCATTATTTTATTTATTTTTTGTGAGATACTTCAACGTTGGATAAAAGTCGGACTTGGATAGCTTCAGAATAAGTGCCCAGATAAACGCAGTAGAGAACGCGATGGAATAAAAACACCTAGCCTTCCAGTGCCACCAACGGATGCAGTCTACAGTGTTTTTGAGTCTTCAGTCTGTGGTTGCGTATGTGTGAAAGGGGAGAATCTCGGACCTCCTCAGCACTTGTCAAAGTCCCAGCAATCGCACTCCTTGGAAGGCTTGGGATCAGTAGGCTTTCGCTTGCACTCCGAGTAGCTGGGAAAAGGAGTTGGCACCTTGGAGCAGTTCTTCTTCTTCGCGGAACGCTTGCAGCTGGGTTCTGCTTTGGATTTGCTCGTCGATTTGGATGTGGTCTTGGAGCAGCCGCCCTTGGAGCCGGCACAACTGGCCAATCGGGAGGCGAGTGGCTTTAGGAACTTCCAGCCGCGTTCCGGCAACATTTTTGAATTTTGGAGTTGGGGGATCGAGAGGGGATTGAAATGGTGTCGTTAGAATATTTTTGAGATATGAGATTTGAATCTAGCCAGTTGTCGCATGACAGAGCTTTCGCCGCCGCCTAAAGTTCGCCGCACTTCAGGACCGCCCCCTTTCCACGGGCAATCCTCCGCCTCAGCTCCGCCCACATCTCGCAGGCCATGGGCACCTGGAGGCACAGGCACTCGGTGGGCGGCGCCTTGGTGAGTTCATCCTTTTTGCACTCCGAGAAGCTGGGATATGGAGCCGGACGTTTCTTGCAAGCGGATAGGCGACGCATCCGGTGGCAGCTGGGCGGAATGCGTCCCGGCTTGCAGCAGGGCAGCGTCCAGTGCGGACAGGTGGACTCGGCCTCCGGCGTTTTGCACTCCATGGGATTCAGCATAGGCAAAGAGGGTCGGGCAGTGGCCGCCAACGCCTTTCGCTGGCGACGACAGGGCTTGGGACGCGGCCGCTTGGAGTGGATGCACACCTTCTTGGGCTTGATCACCAGCCGGGGGCACTCGTTCCACGTCACCTGGTACTGGCGTGCCTCCTTGTCCGAGATGCGGTAGTGCTGGATGTCCAGTCGCACTACTTCATCGCACTTCGGCACGTACTCGCAGCCCGGAATATACCACATGGACCTCATATTGGCTGGCACTTTCGGCTTTTTGGTCTTCTCCTTGGGTTCGGCCTTCTTCTTGGCCTTGCCGCCCTTGGCCGCATCACAGATGGTGCCCTTGAAATGGGGTGGACCACAGCCCTTGGATGCAGAGACCTTCTCCGTGAGGCACTCCTTGGGCGCCCCGCAATTGTCATCGGACGCCTTGCTGCTGTAGTTGCGGCGAGCCAGGTGCTGGCGGAGCACACTTGAGCCGCCGGCACCACTCTCGGCACTCGCTAGACGTGGAAGACCAACCGCCTTTGACCAGTCGACCTTCAACTGGACACAAGCATTCACCAAGGACTCCAGGCACGGCATGCCACGGTCCACGAGTGAACGACACTTCTGACGCAACGCTCGCAACATTCTGAAATTTGTTAACAAATTTTTTTTTTCAATGCCGAAATAAGCCGAGAGTATGTTTTGTATGACTGAGGACTGAGTGTAGACTAGCTGGGACAGCACATCAAAACCCAGGAGAGGGCTTTCAAGGCCAACTTCGTTTAAATTTTTGATTGAAAGTTCCTAAGGTCCACCTAATTTACTTTTCTACCTACATAAACTCTTTTACCTAATTTTCCTTTTGTAATAATTTTATCCCCATTACTTGCAGGTTAAGAGGGTATATTGTATTTGTTGACAACTATATAACAGGTTTATGGAATCATTTCTGACTCTAAAGTATTTATATATATATTTAATCAGGACACCTAGATTAAACCATTTACTAATTTTTGGCCGTATGAACGTCGAGCTCCCTAAAACTATACAGCTTTTGTAATAGAAGAACATGGTCATTTCGCCTATATACATCGACTCCCCACGAATTTTTTAAAACATACAATTATTTTAGAAGTTTTTAAGACATAAATAATAAAAGTCAAATATAATCAGTGATGTTACATATGCCTTCATGTAAATTTTCAACAATAAAATTTATTTTAAAATCGACTATATCTATCGTATTTTTTAAAGAAATATGTACTATGAAATATTTCGTCCTGCTTAAAGCTGAATTGAGAACATTATTTAAAAGTTGTTATTAAAAGTAGGCCTTGAATTGAACTTCAAAGCCATATAGCCATGTCGATTAAGTCCAGATCTCAGTTCCTCTCGGACTTTCCTAAATTTCACATCGGCTCAGTCGAGCTGACTGTGTTTTCGGTTTAGTTATTTTTAGTTTGGAAATTTCTCGGTACAGAGGGGTAAAATTTTTTGGTTTCGTAATTGCTGGTTCATAAGGCCTTTACTTCGTTGGATCCAATTCTTTTTTTGAGAGGGTATTTTTGTCAGCCTCGCAAGCTTACCATGTCTATGTGGCGCAGTGTAGCGACAAGGACACGGAGTCACCTGCTGCCTCGTTTTGGGGGCGTGGTCAGTCAGCGTGGCTACGCCGAAGACCACAATCCATCGCCCAAATGCAGTGCAGATAGTGGCAAGGGTTGCGGAAAGTTCACCGCCTGCGGAGATCCCCGATTCGAAATGAAACCGCCGCCAAAGCAAGAGGACACCTTCCAGTTCCATCACCTGGTCAAGCAGCCCCCGGAATGCTGCGACGATCCCTGCCGAGATAGGTTTCCCCTCTACGACGATTGCTTCTACAAGATCTCGGACAAGGCCAAGCGCAAGTACCAGGTCACCTGGGTGGAATGCCCGCCCATCCAGATCAAGCCGAAGAAGATCTGCTGCTTCGAGGCGGCCACTCGTCCTCCAATCCCACGACGCAAGCGCAAAGTGTTCGTTGCGGACGAAAAGTGTCCCACGGAACAGGTGTGTCCGGTGGCCGAGGGCCTGTGTCCCAAGATCACGATGCCCGGCTGCAAGGCTGTCGATTCGGTTTCGTGCCACGTCGTCAGACGGAAAACAATCTGTACCAAAGTAAAGGCTCCGTACCCCTCATTCTCGGAGTGCTCCCGTCCCCCGGCTCGCAAGGCTCGAGGCATCGAGTGCCATTGCCTAGAGATTCCAAGCGCCTGCGACCTTGTCCGCGAGGCCACAAGAACTGAAGGAAATCCTCGCAAGGGCAACTGCGGTGGCAGCAGAGGCTAGACGCATAGATCTCGTCCGACTCCACGCATTACGAAACCGATCCTGTTAAAATTCCGACTTAATAGACCGAAACACCGTTATACTCTGCGTTTTATTTACAAAGGGCTGAGCAAGGTTTTTGATGGATTCTAAGAGAATATTTTGTTTAGATACCCATTACTCAGCTTACCAATATCGAAAAAATATGAATTGTATTATGAATTATTATAATACAGTAATCTTACCATATTTAAATTTATTATTGCCGCCATACCCTGTTTCTTACAAAAGTTGGAGAAATAATTTAAGTAGTGTGAAGGATTTTGATAGTATCGATTAGAACAAATGATGTAGATGCACATAATGGTAGTCTACGACCACTTTCAATTTATTTTGCTGCTAGGAAAGAATGTTTCAAGAGATTTCCTTCCGCATTGCAATTTTATTCAGCTCACTTATTAAATATTTTGTGATATTGCTAAGCTAATTCTGAGTTCCTTCCAAACTTACAGCTGGCCAGTTAAGCCTGCTCTTGCGGCTTTTTTTTGTTTGCTTCCTACTATGCACATAAAAGTTTTGTTTCCCTTAAAAAAACAAAAAAAAAACCGGCTACACTGCTACTTAGCCATGTAAATTGAAAGCGTTTGCCCAACTGTGGATGAGTATGCAAAGTGTCCCGAAGAGGAGGTTGCGGAGTTGGCGGACAACTGCGTGCCATATTAAAGTCGCTTTATAGCAAATTACCAATTCAGATATATACGGGTACACACAAATCAGTTATACCCGGCATCTATCAGCATATTCCCCAGGCTGTTGCTGTTGGATTTGCTCTCCCTTTTTTGTTTCTTGGTCTTCTTTTTTTTTTTTTTTTTTTTTTTTTGAATGCATGCAGGCCGTCACATTTATTCGAGTTCGAGTTTGATGTACGAGCCGAAATGCATGTGCATAATCAAAAGGGGAGCGGAAGGAGCCTTCTCTCGAAGACAATCGAAATGAGACAAAGCCCGGCTCCAAAGACGTCGAAGACGAAGCTTCCCCAGCTGCAGACATAATTGATGGATCGCTGACTGACGACAGAAATGTTCTTCTTCTGGCTGGATCCGAAAAGGGGACTCGTGTTGTTCGCCTACCTCTGCCTAAATAATGATGTCGCATTATTTATGCCGCAGCTGATTTGCATAGGCAAGCTAAGAAGTTTGGAGTGGTGGGGGATGTGCGGGATGTGGGAGATCTAGAAAGCGGTTGCGTTGCCCCCGGGGGCAATGTGTGCGCTTTCTTTAATAAATGTTTAATTTATAATTGATTTTACCCCCCAACACCGCACCGCCCACTGGCCCAGTGATACGACTTGGCTCGAAAGACCTCAAAGTTTCTGAACCGCAAAAGGATTTGCCCGCGCACGAAAACACTTAATTAATTCGCATAGACAGACAGTCGGACGGGCGGACGGACGGACGGATAGACATACGGACGGATGTGGCGGGGCAGGATTTTGCCCACCCATCTGGTCAGGCGACTCCACCCCGGCACACACACACACCACACACATGAAGAAATAATTAGAAATTAGAATGGAGAATGGAGAATAGAGAATGCTTGCCAGCCAAGTTGACGATAACAACGCCCCACAAATGCCCGCCCACACACTGAGTCGACCTCTTACTCGACTGGTTCACCCACCTACACAACCTTCACAACCTCCAACCCCCAAGTAGCATATTTAAAATGTAGCCAAGTCGACGTCGACACGAGTATGATTTAAACTATATACTTGGACCCTTTTAGCAGACCAAAGCCCAAGACAGCGGCAACCCGAATCGAAAATGCTGTTGCAGTTTCAATTTACTTATTATAGCTCGAGATGGGTTTGTTCATTGAAAACTATCGATTTCTGTTCTTAATAGGCAAAATTAATTATAATTATTCGGCTATAATGAATAATTGGATTAAAGCGTTAATAGAAGTTTAAAGTTGCAACTATGTTAAAAAACTTAAGTTTTTTTTTTTTATAACAATGCAATACAAATTTATTAATATAAAGGTTTTTTGTTCAAGTCTATTAAACTTTTATAAGATATTTGTAAAATATTGTTTTTTTTTTTTAAATATTCCTAATTAAAACACCACAATAGATCTATTCTTTCTTATTGTTCCATCGAAATTTCTTACTCTCCTTGCTTAATTTAAAATCCATAACTTTGAAGTTTCCGATCAAAAGGAGCTTGCTTAACTTGAATCAACTTTCGATCTTAACCAATTACCCAAATATTCGATGAAACAGTTTTCCCCATCACTAAGGCAAAGGCAGGACCGCACACAACAGCGAAAAACAGGACGGAGAGGAGGACCTAATTTGCTGCTAATATCCGTTTACGTCTTTAGTTGCAGGAAAATTACAATATTTCGTGTGGTATAGTTGGCACGCATACACTCGCCTTCAACTTTGGGCTATAGATACTTATGTATCTAATTTAAATTTCACAATTTCGGCGCAGCAAGAAAAACGCCAAGCTGGAAAATGAGCTAGGGCCTTGACTAATTTTCTATAGCCGTCGCGCAAGGGTTGGTATCGAGGAGTTTGGGATTGGGACTGGGACTAGGAGTGGCAGGGAGTCGGATTAAAGCCCGGCAAGTGGACACAGACTTGGACCGAAGTGCTTGCGTAACAGGGGGATCAGGATGTTGGACTTGCGCCGGCGACTGCTGCTGCTTAGCCAAATTATATTATGACTTGTTTAAAATTCAAATTTGAAAACACTAAAATCATGTTTTCGATGTCTAGCCACCCCGACTGCCAACCCCAACTCCTTTTGGATAGTTTTCGGCAAGGGTTTAAGTAGCGCACGCGGCCAAAAAGGCGGGGGAGGGGCTATTCGGTTGGGGTTTCTGGTCACAGGGGGTGGCTCTGGGCAGGGTGTCTCTGCTAAGGCATTGCCTTCGTCTCCATCTCCGTCTCCATCTCCGCCTTCAACTGGCAACTTTTGCTGTCTGTCCTCGGCCTCGGCCCCGATCCTAACTCAAGGCAATGTCCTTTGCCGGCATTATATATACGTATGTTTGGAGGTTTGTGTGCGTGTTGCCAAAACATAGTTTCTAGTTGCCACATAAATTTTGCATGCTCTAGCTTATATGGGGTGTTTGTGTGTGTGTGTGGACGGCTTGGCCAACTAGAATTTGCTTTTAAACAATTTTAATGATTTCATTAGTCGTACAGCGGACAATTTAATGAGGACGATTCGGGGCTCAGAAATTGATTTTCTATTCGTTCGGCTAGCAGCGAGTTGATAGTGCAGGGAAACTCTGGATGTGTTATTTGGGGCTTTGTTAATGGAATGTTTCTTCTGCAAAATCGAATGTGTTAAAGTGTTTGTTTGGGACTTAAAGAATAAAAGGATTTTTGGCTTGTTCGTTTATGAAGAAAGTTATCCAATGTTAAATTTCTGTTATGACTTTAATTGAGAAGCAAATAGGGACTTCGTTTTTGAATTCATAGTATTGTGCTGAAGTTTTAAAATAAAAAGAAGTTTCATTGTCAAAGACTATGACCTAAAATCACCACATCCATTAATTTGATGAAAGACATGGATTATTTTTAGGAAAATAATTTCTAAAATTAATGTAATCATTTCCCTTTTTCAGTAAAATGTTGGTTATTTTATTACTTATTGGAAGAAAGTTTTTGAATTCTTTATAAAGTTGATTTTTGTGTTATTCACTATAATCATATTATTTGTTTATGTGATAATATGTGCTTTAGAAAACAAAAACACATCTAACTTTTTACCAAAATTAAAAAAAAATGGTAAAAAAAAACTATATTTATTCGTTTACAATCTTTAGCTTGGACTATATTTACCGTTGCCTGTCTTAGAAGACTGACGTCTTCATTAGAATGAAATTTAACTTGTATTTTTGTGTTGTTGTGTTGTGTCTTGCACTTGTCCGATAACTTTATCCCAAGCCGAGTTGCTCCTAGCCTGGCTAACTCAAGCAAATGCGACGCCATTTTGTCCTGCCCGCACAGACTCACACACTCAAAGCTCAAGACATAATTAGATTGCATAATGTAAGTGTTGCCTCTCGTCCAGTCTGTACACTAAAGTCCTGGCAATTTCAATAAAATTTGTGTCGGCCAAGGAGTTAAGTGGGAAGATGGAGGGCTTAGCCCAAAAAGCAGTCAAATGTCTCAGACGTCTCACACACACAAACCACACACACTCACACACACACACTCTCTTGTGGCGAAATCCCCTTTCCCCCTCTCACTTACTCCTTACAGCTCACAGGGCCTTAACCCTTGTTGGTGTGTGTGGGGTTGTGGGCAAGGCAATGGCCTTTCAAAATTTTCGAATTTACGTAAATTTAACTTTCTTGAAATACACTTAACTGTAAAATTAATTATAAAAGGCAATTGTGCATGTGTGTGTGTGTGTGTGTGTGAGTCTGGCAATCATGTGTGTGAGTGTGGGCTTATAAAGTGCCCCGCCCCTATCGCCCACTTAAGTTTGTCTTAGTCTTTGGCCGAAAAGGTGTTGGCATGGAATTTGCATAACCAACGAAACGTCAATGTCTTCAGAGAAAGAGCGAAAGAGAGGAAAATAGAGAAAGGCTTGCACACATATGTGTGTGTGTGTGTGTGAGCATGTACAGTTGCGCCCATCGCCATTTGCATACTCACACACACACACACACACACAAGTCTGGGCCGTGTGTGCGAAAACACACTAATTAAATGTTGAAGGCAGTTTATATTGAGACGGCGCCCAACCACCCACTTGCATGGCCAGCGGGCAGACAAAGGCCAAAAGCAGGTGTTGGTGTGTGTGTGTGTCTGTATGTGTATGAGTGGGTGGGTGCATTATATAACCCCCAACCTCATACACCTGCATGTGCGAGCGTGTGTCGTAAGAAAATCTATAGCCTACGGTGCTCAAGCCTGAACCGCAAATTCAAATGTCTTCATTTTGAACATCAAACCAACTGCAGCAGCACTTCCTTCGCCCCCCTCAACACACACACACCTAGATACAGATATACACACACAAACTCACTGGGGGAAGGAGCAGTGCTTTACATATGTATATTTGCTGAGGATTTCTAA